AGAGGCATCACGTATGTATGTAAATAGTGTACCCGCTCCGATCTATGTAGGTGTTAGATCGGTCACGGGATCATACTACGAGGTGAGTTGGAGGTTTGCAGCCTTCGTAGACTATTCCTTTTCTCTACAAACCCTTCACCTTCTATAAGAAAGGCTCCTCAGTGCAGAAGTAGCGATGCCGCTCATGGGATTGCGCGACGAAGCTCAAACCCATGTGTAATTTAAAGTTTTGCAGACAATGTGCACACTTTCCATCATGGCAAATTGCCAATGGCTCAATGGCAATGTTCCAGGCTGCCGCTGGAAAGATTGCTGGACCGACACCGCATGAAGTTGAAGATTTCAAACAAAATCCAGCGCGCGCGGTCGAGTCACGAGCGCGGCATCACCTCTATGGTTGCAGACTAAGCCATAGTATCGACAGAGCGGATTTCTTTGATCGCCCAATCCCGACTTATGATTTTAATGACGTCAAAATGATCGCAACTCCCTCTAGCCATCGTGCGTAGCTGTTAACAGTGCCCATCATGTGTCTGATAATTCGCTGAAAGGCCTTTCCTTTTACTTGAACGGCTGGTCTAGCTACCGATATTGTCTCCTCTTCAGCCACTCGGCTGGCGCGTCCCGCAAGTTACATCAATGACAGTGCAAAACACACGAAGAGGCTGAGCAGAACAAGGGTTTCTGCCTCATTGCACTTCCTCGAGAACCACCCAACCCATCCTTTCAGTGTGACATGGAGCGTGATTCTGGACCAAATAGGGTGATAAATGTGCCTGTGAAACTTTATTCGGGGTGCAAAACGATGAAGAATACGTATTTGTTGTCTGACATTGATTATACATTGCTCTCGCTGGCGTCAACGTGGCGACAGAGTTTCGAATTGGAGGTATTTGAAATACAACGAGTAACAAGGTATAAATCATTAAAATCATTATCAACATATCATTATCATCATTGTCCATGAACGAATGACGTTTACGGCGAGAGGAAGGCAGGAAATGTACAGTAGGTAAGCATGACGGAACCGAGGAGTGATGCTGATTGTGAAGGTAGGTGACAAGGAGGCATTGGCGATCTAGAGCTCCCATTTTTGAGGGCGCGGAGGCGTTAGGATTTGGAGGTGGTGTGGGAGAGCGCTCTTGGAGGGCGAGGAGTTACAAGAAGAAAAATGAACAGTAAATCCATTGTCGTAGGAAGACGACACACAGAGAAAGAGCCTTGAAAGTCTCGGATGAAGCCGGCATAGCAACACATAAAATGGAGTAATCATCTTATTATGCAAAGCAAAAAAGTATGGAATATGTATCAGGAAAAGCCGACTATACCGAGTTTGGATACAGGAAAAGACAATTGGATGATACTAGGAAATCTAGCGCGAATCTATATTGTCTATATACAAAAACACTGTGCTACAAGAGAGTCTGCTAAAACATATCTCATACACGACATACTATTTATAGTCTTGCTCAAAAATCGCGGCAAAATGCGCCATTTAGGGGCGGAGCTTTCCACAAGGTGGGCGTGGCTGCCTACTGAACTTGTCGCTATTTCTGAACTAAGCTGACGAAAAGCTTGTAATCACCGAATAGAGCAAGGAAACATTACTAAATAGCAATTAAGGATCAATTATAGCATCAAAAGTTATTTGTTGCAATTTTTTCTGGCGAATGAAATTCCATTCTGTCGGGATCCCATCCGTTTATAGTTTAGCGCCACAATGGGCGACGAGCCAACTAATGGCGTCGATTTTCAGCTCTGATCTGACCACGCCGGGTGAACCAGTCATACTGACCGGACCTTGACGGCTTGATCTGATCCTGTAACGATTTCCAACACTGCACCGCGTCCGATCGCTGTACACATGGCGGACGAGGCAATGGTGGTAGTGACGGTGCCACCAGACGACGTTTGTATGGCAACACCTGGCGAGTAGGAGGACTCGCTAGCAGCGCTTTTGAACCTGAATTCAGTAGTTTGAATAAAGCTCGATGATACGCTATCACCCCTCGACTTCTAGGCAAGTGATTTGGGACAACACATGTACGACAGCGCGGCGCACGTACGACTCGCATTTTCACGTAAAAGGTACACATTGGCGACTGTGTCACCTGATGGCGGGCGACACGCCTAAGATTCAAATCCTTTGGGCCGATGTCATAGTTTGCGAATCGAGCGATTCGCTAGCGAATCGCTGGATCCGAGCGTTGCGCCAGCGAATCGAACGTTGCACCAGCGAGTCGAACGATGTACCAGCGACTCGACACTGTTTGAAAGTGGCGGGACCCAACGTTCAAAGGAAGTCCACTTCAAAGGACCACACTGTTTGAAAGTGGCGGGCCTCGCCTTCAACAACGCAGAGTCAACCCTGCGTTGCGCAGTTCTCAACGGCCACGTTGCGCAGTTTCGCCCGATTAGACACGTTCTCTCGCGCGAACATTCACACTCGCATGCTCGAGCCGTCTGCGTCTCCGCCCATACAGCGTGCGTTGAGGATCTCTCAACGTGCCGTTGCGAACTGCGCAACGCAGGGTTGACTCTGCTGGTACATAGTTCGACTAGCTGGTACATAATACGACTTGCAAGGTGCATCGGTGGATTCGCTGACGCAAAGTTCGATTCGTTGGTGCAATGTTCGGATCCAGCAATTCGCTAGCAAATCGCTCCGTTCGCAAGCTTTGACATCGGCCTTGCGCAGACACTAGATTTCTAGCAGTGTACATTAACCTGAGAGACATGGAAGTACCTACGATACCTATGAATACCTACCACATTTCAATGTGGAGATATCTTTCACAGCCAGCGCTTTACAGACGGGAAGCTTAATAGAGCTTCTCCAAGGTTAAAGGACGAATTCACGATCAGAATAAAGGTCTAAGAAAGAGTGATTTACCTCGTTGAGGGAACCGCGGACCTCTTTGTCCAGGGTGCGGACTGAAGCGCAATTGGCACCGGAGGTTCACGGCGACCTATTAAGGTCAATCTTGGCGGCTGGTCAGTGCACGCCCACCGATCATCTGATCACTCGCCGCAGGTCTATACGTGGAGTGATTAGATAGGTGAGAGAGCGTAGTGTTGAAGAGGGCACAGCGATGAGAGTCGCATCAATGCTCAAATCAACGGGCAAGGAAGGGGTCCCATTTCTCGGGTTCTGGGCCGTTTCTCATGGTTTTCCTTCTTTCGTGTACCACTCACCATCCTAGGTTAATTTGAAATGGGTTGCTTTTTCAGCGTGAATTCGTCCTTTAAGCTAGTTATTTAATGTAATGGATGTTTTGAAAATTCTGTCCTTTTACGACCCCGAAATCGTCGATAAGTCGGATCCGACTCACAAACATTAATTCATGTATGAGAACACCTTTCTGAACTGTTATAACGCACCTTTGCAAGGTTTTCTGGTAGTATTACGCTCAGCGCATGGACGATGTCTCAGTAAACATGGAGCGGTTGTTGGGCGTTGCTTTCGGAGAGTCAAAGATCTGGGAGCAGCACGCACCAAAGCAGAGATATTGCCTGTGAAAATAAAAGTAATCAATACTTCGATAAATATGGAGATTGATATAGGACTCACTTTTCTTAGCGATGCATGGTTTGTGCTTCATGAAGGTGATTGATGGATAACGAGGACCAGTCTTAGGCTTCATAAAATTGATTAGTGGACGACCAGGACCAGTCTTTGGCTTCACGAAGGCGGCTTGTGGACGATGAGGGCCATTTGGTGTTCTCAAAAGTATCTGAAATTAAAACAATAGTGGTATATCACACGCCATCCTCGACCTTTCCTAGTAAATATAAGTTGCCGGATTCAACAATCGACTACATATATCATGGGTATCAGCTCTTAGCAAAATAAATATTTAGAAGGAAATAATTCGCTCTATACTGGTGAGATCCAGAGTGATTTATTAGTTATTGATTGCCCATTTAATTATTTACTTCATTTTTTTCAGAGTTGGACGTCATGTTCCAACAGCTAAAAGACCTGTCAACAGGGTCAACCATAACGTTGAAAAAATTTCCCGATTCGAAAAGATCCTACCACTGGTC